CGAGATCTCCCTGGGATCCCTGGGGCCACGCCGGGATCGGCCGCGGGATCGCCGAGATCTCCCTGGGATCCCTGGGGCCACGCTGGGATCAGCCACGGGATCGCCGAGATCTGCCCAGGATCCCTGGGGCCACGCCGAGATCAGCCGCGGGATTGCCAAGATCTCCCTGGGATCACACCGGGATCAGCCACAGGATCACCGAGATCTCCCCGGGATCCCTGGGGCCACGCTGGGATCAGCCACGGGATCACCGAGATCTCCCCAGGATCCCTGGGGCCACGCCGAGATCAGCCACAGGATCACCGAGATCTCCCCGGGATCCCTGGGGCCACGCTGGGATCAGCCCCGGCAGCGCCGAGATCGCCCCTGGATCGCTGGGGCCACACCGGGATCAGCCACGGCATCACCAAGATCTCCCCGGGATCACACCAGGATTATCCATGGGATCACCGAGACCTCCCTGGGATCGCTGGGACCACACCGGGATCGCCCCCGGGATCGCCAAGATCTCCCCAGGATTGCTGTGACCACACCGGGATCATCCCCGGAATCACTGGGACTACACTGGGATCACCCCCCAGGATCACTGGGGCCACACCGGGATTGCTGGGGCCACGCCAGGATCAGGTGTGGGATCACTGGGGCCACACCGAGATCTTCTCAGGATTGCTGCGGCCACACCAGGATCAGCCACAGGATCACTGGGGCCACACCAGACACTGGGATCAGCCATGGGATCACCGAGATCTCCCTGGGATCACACCGGGATCACTAAGATCTCCCTGGAATTGCTGGGATCACACCGGGATCGGGTGTGGGATCAACAGGGCCACACTGGGACCACACTGGGATCAGGCGTGGGATCACCAGGGCCACACCAGGATCATTTGGACCACACCAGGATCACCCCCGGGATTGCCAGGATCTCCCTGGGATCTCCGGGACCACACCAGGATCAGCCACAGGATCACCAGGGACACACTGGGATTGCTGGGACCACACTGGGATCAGCCATGGGATCTCCAAGATCTCCCCAGGATTGCTGGGGCCACAGCGGGATGACCCCTGGGATCACTGGGGCCACACCGGGATCAGCCATGGGATTGCTGAGATCTCCCTGGGACCACACTGGGATCACCCGCAGGATCACCGGGACCACTCTGGGATCAGCTGCAGGATGGCCGAGATCTCCCCAAGATCACTGTGACCACACCGAGATCTCACTGGGATCACCTCCGGGATCACCAGCGCCCTGGGTCACCCACGGCATACCAGGATCACCCCCAGGATACCAGGAACTGGGATCACCAGCACCCCCGGGATCTGCCATACCCTGGGGCAATGGCACCCCGGGATCACTCGCAGGCCAAGCCATCAGCACCCTCAGGATCACCAGCACCCCGAAGATCTCCCCCGGGATCCCCATCCCTCCAGGATCACCAGCATCCCTGGAATCTCCCCTGGGATCACTGGCACCCCCAGGATCACCTCAAATCCCAGGCACTGTCACCGTGGGACACCAGCACCCCCAGGATACTCGCCTGCTGTTGGGGCGCGGTAGGACCTTCCCACTCACGTGGGAACCTCAAAAATGACATTTGCAGCATCCAAACTTGAGATTTCTTGCTTTTTTGTGCAGATTTGGGATGACGGCGTGGGGAGCCGCGGCGCAGGGACCCGCAGGGACGGGGTGGGTCGCACTGAGCAGCACCCACGCGGAAGCACCAGCGGGAAGCAAAGGCGGGGCAGGTGGAGGAGGAGGAGGCCGAAGGAAGGCTTAGCTCAGTCCGTGTGGAAGCGTTTTGTTGGGAAATTCAGCCTGGGTTGAATTTCCAGCAGCTCCATAAGCCTTCGGAAATCAATAATTACGAAGAAAAGGCGATTAAACCAAATTGAAAAAAACCCAACAGCTTGGACTAATTAATTTTCCCGGTGTTCCATGGAAACGGGGGCAGCCTGTGGAAAACCTCCGACCCGGGATGCCGGAATTCAGGGATGCTCCCGCCACGGCTGGGGCCGGGTTTGGGAGGTTTTGGCAGCGGGGGCTGTTTGTCCCCTGTCCCATCACTCGGTGGGGCCCAGCCATGGTCGCCCCGCAACGCTCCAGCTGAGTGCCAGCTGGTTTTTCCAGTAACCCCGGTGACGTGCCAGCGGGTTTTCCAGTAATCCCAGTGATCTGGCAGGCTTTGGCCAAGGTGTTCCCAATGGCCGTGGAGCACAGGTGCTGTATTTCAGGGCTTTCAGCGTTCTCCTTCCAGCTCCCACCAAAATTTTGAAGCTCTCGGGGCTCCCCAGCCTCCTGGAGAGATGAAGAAGCGGCACCCGCCTGCTGCAGCGACAGACGGCAAACACCGAG